ACTAATATATGTGTCAAACACCAAACAGCGGGTTCGAAGGAACTATGCGATCACTTTGTTTGTATGTGATGAGTGTAAATATCGTATATTGTACATTTGACTCACCCAGAATTGAAACATAAGGGATATGGCAATTCACATTACAGAGATGATATTATTACATATTTACTTTACATGGTGAAGTCAAACTTCTAAATCGTCTCGGATCCACACTTCCATGACTAAATCCGAGCAAAATATTGTACAATATAACTCTTACTTAGTTCCAAATCAAATTTCTGATGTGAATATTGCTCCCTATAATATTTCTATAACACTATAAATTCTTTTGCTCATATAATCATGGGTCAACACTTTCTGTCTTACTTGAAATACATGCATGCAACAATGTATATGAAAATACAACCAAACAACATAAAGAGAATAATCCGAAACCTCCTGATGCTAGTTTGATGATGCCACGATTCAAGATGGAATGCAAATCATAACAAAAATGTATCTTTATGTAGGATGATTCAAAGTCTTATAATCAGTTATATATACAAAAATACAATAAAAAATTATGATTAGTTCAAGCTATTGCAACGATTCAACCCAATTTCTCATACGAGAAATATTAGGGAGTTCCAACTCTTAGACTTATTTACATCAGATATGTTGATTTGTGCATAGAAATAAATATGGCAGTTGGAACATCACAGCCAGACAACATAACCTTGCATTCCTAGTTTTACTCTATAAACTTTCCTAGTGACCTTTGGACTAAAGTACCTGTCATAAGAGATACTTGTAAACTGAAAGAGAAGTGCGGCAGTAAGAACATTGCTCTAGGTTCACATAAGAACAAAAATGAAATAGGATCAGACGGTGGCACGACCCCATGATCAAGAGTCACCCCCCTTGATGGTCTAACATTATAGAGACTCCCGCTTGGAGTACTGTAATGTATGACCATGCAAGTCCTTACGTGAGTAGTAACATAGTCACGTAAAAGCATTACTGTTGTTCTCGTTCTCGTTCTCGTGTTTTCTCTTCTTTACTGTAGTGATTGAGTGAGCTGTATATAGAATTGTTGTATTGTGTAAGCCGCATATGTTGGCTCCTTCAATTGAGAGCTTAAAGGTGTACCGTGAAAATTATAATGTCTTTCATGTATGGTGCCTATTGCTATGAATATGGTGGTTGTAAGGTTAAGAACATAAGTCGTTTCTGACTTGTAAGTGGAATGTATTTGGCGTCTTTGGAGACTCGTCTTTGTGTGAATCCTAATGCTCGTCATCTGTAGATCTTGGATAGAGTTGTTGTGATATGCGTGTGAATTCTATAATAGATAAATAAATAAATATATAAAGTGTGCTTCTATGGAAAATAATAATTTAGATTGCAAGAGTTTAGTGTGACCCCAGATTTGTCCTCTTCATGTTTCACTGCGCTTGTAAGGATTATGTAAGCAGAAAGAAATTCCATTTACATTTAGCTATCACGCGCAGATAATTGTTCCCATTGCATCGATGAATGTATTGCCAAATGCAACGGGGACTTAGAACGAAATGTGCTTGAAAACGAGGAAGGCCAGAAAGAATGAGTGCCGGTTATCAGGCAGTGGATAAATTGGAGAGCATGTACAGATCGGACAAAGCATCGCAACGCACTTTCCGGAATTCTGGCGATGCGAAAGGTCATTGAGGAGAGTCATTGCCGACACACAATTTCGATGAGGAGGGGCTGCCCATCATGTTTGATACTGCCGCGCGTACGCACGCAGCACCTGATTGCAAGCTCGAATTATGTTTTACACTCGCGCGCGGATCGATCGCTTGCGGCTTTTCTTGAGGTTCCGTAGTGACTTATCGATCGCATTAGATACGCCTTCATTCGCGAGGCAGCATGATCAGATGCAAGTACAACTTGCCGAGAGTGTCATGATTCATGTCCCTGGTTGTCTAAACAGTAAATCAATCGAAACTACAAAATTCAAGTTTTATTATCTGCATATCCTAACTAGGGTGCCAACCTCTCTCATTTTCTGGATTTTCCATAGATCCTCGAGAATGGTGGATTATTGCCAATGACATTGAGGTTGTTGCCAAATATTCGATCGTGGTGGCTGCCTCTAGAACATCACAACAGGAGAACCGGTTCCATGTTTACAATTCTGAGATAAATTTTTTTCTGCCTCCTGCTTGCCCGATCAGGTGGGCATGCAAAGGTGGAAACATGAAGTGACTAAAACATGGAGTGTGCTACGCATGAACACTCTTCGGGCACAACTCTGCCTCCACCACAGTATTCCCGACATGTCTTGACAGCGAGGGTTGTGAGGATTTGAGGAGAGAAACAGTAGCTAACATCAGGCTCCTTACTCACGGAAGTGCTGTCACGTGCCTCCTTTCACTCGATTTAGAGTAGAAAAGCTTCCCACGCTAGTCCATTGCTGTTCTTGATCTGTCTTTAGGTTTAGTTCTGCAGAACGAGCCCCGGGGGCTGCCAGCACCAATGATCGCGCAAACCAGACCCGGTTTCAGAATGGCTCCCAGTTTGCACTCGAGGGGGAGCCCGGGAAATTCACCAGGATCTTGATGCACGATGAATTTGATGACGTCGTGAGACGAGGGCAGTTCGCACCCTCGAGCTGTGGCCTTAAACCCGGCTACAACCAACACGGTGGTTCCTCCTCTGAGATCCTCTCTCTACGCAGGCAAATTGTACGAGCACAAACAACTGCCACTGTACTAATTGGATTCCACGACATGTTTTACAAGACTATGACAACCACCACTGTGGCAACAGAATGTCGCATCAGTGCCTGTACTCTTGCCGACTGGAAAGGTGGTCGAGGTTTAGGCCTTCATTTCTCATCTGCCCTCAGCTGCTGGGACAATATTTGAGGCTTAGTCGCCTTCTAGATTGCGAGCCATGATGATGTCAGTCGGTTCTTCAGCATTAATCTCCAACCATGATAACGTTTGAAAACAAAGCCCGATGAATGTTTGGAGCTGTGGGTCGTTGGGAACCATTATTGGCACCCCAGTGAGACTCAACCACGTTAGATGACGGAGGCTACGGCGTTTGTCACTTGGGATGTAGTTAGGGATGCTTTGACATCGTGGACTCGTTTTTCTCGACTTTGCTTGAGCACCACAAAGTTCGTACTAGGTCTTCCCCGACTGTCTAGTAGCTAGGCCATAGTCCGGCTACTTGTGGTTGTAAGCCAAAGAAAACCTGCTCTTCTCGAATATCGGTGCGTGTAGGCCTGCCTGGTCGTTGAGTTAAATCCATAATCGATAGATTAAAATTCATAAACTTTCAAATAATTGTGGACCTGGTTGCTTTTGGCGCATCCGAGACGAAGACATATGTATATTTATTATACTCCACATCCTAGAGAGGGTTGACTTCTTCGCTAAGACAGAGCTGGCCCTACAGCCTTGCTTGCTAGAAGAAAATCAGCCAAAGTTGAAGGGTGACCACTTATTGCTCCGTGGCCATTAAACGAGTAAATTACAAGTTTTTGAGTTCCTTTTCTTTAATAGGACAAAGTCTTGTGATTTCTTACTCCGGTTGTCAATAAGACTCCAATGCATTTCTCAAGAGCTTTCAGTTTGATTTATTCTCGGAGAGGAGACTTATAAAGAAATAGATGATTCTTCTTGGGAGGACTGCCCAAATAGTTTTGTGATTTTCTCTTCCTTTGGAGAATGCCTCTCATCGCAGTTTAATCCGCGTGGGGTCCCAAATCAATTTCGTTCATCTATGAAGCCTTTTCCAGTAAGCTAGAGGGGCACTTGAATATTCTTTATTGAGCATGAAGCTTAGGCCCAATCATCGCGCTTTCACAGTGTGCGATTTAGTTTAGCGACTTTGTAATTCAAGGTTTCTCTAGAATTGGCTGACTAACATTTTGGAGAGAAACTATCTTCTTGTATTGATTTACCATTTACCATTTTTTATTGATCTGAGTTGCTGTCTCCAATAATATTCTGTACCCTTTTATGTGAAGAAATACATTCTTAGGGATAAATCATGTATTTTCATATTTTCTTTTATTTCCAAGCCGGAAATTTTGATTGCATTTTGATTTACTTTTGCTTTATTTTTCGATAAATCCGTGGAATATTATTGAGGACGGCACTGGTGAACGAATCCATGTGCCTTACTCCAATTCCGTCAGCGCGTCTTCTGGAAAATGTCGCCCATGGCCAGTAGCACAGTGTGAAAAATTAAAACCTGTCTTTTCTGAGCATCGGACACTTGTACAGGCTTCACAACTTTCTACACCGAGCTTGACGGTTTCCGAAGATGAACCGTGTTCAGTAAAGTTTGAGGGGACTGCTCAGAGCAGGTTCAGGTTTTCCGTGCAGATAGGAGTAACGAGCGGGGTCTTTGAGAGTGTCCACGCAGCAACTCAGCACATGTCGTGGCACATTCGCACGACGTACGCAACATGTGTCACGTGTTGCGTACATCGTATATTTCATACCATGTACCTTCAATCATAATCGTGCAATAGTCTGCCAATTGAAGAACATGGAAAAGTCTTTCAACACAATGCGTCTTGTTCAGGCCTTCCGCCTGCATTTTGCGACATACAACTCCTCCTCCCCTGGTACAGTGCTATTCTTCTGTACACAATTTCCTACCTGACTATGTGCCTGACCCTGCGATTCGCGCAGACTTCACTGATATAAATTGACTAAATACAGTTCAATGGAAGTTCACCTACTTCAATGCAGTCGTCGTTGGGCTTTTCCTGCCATGTGGCATGCGATTAGCGACTTATCACTGTGTATGGTAAGTACATAGACAGCTCACAAGTAAGTTTGCTTCAATTATGCACTTGCAACAAATGTTCAGATGGTGTGTCATGAAATGTCCTGGACTGAATACGCCCTGAGGGCATATTTGATTCCTAACACATGACGTCTTTAACATGATTGCTTTCTCAATCTCATATGACTTATTTATACGGAACACAAAAGAAAAAAAATGTAATGATTGCACATCACAATACTTGGATCTCGAAAGCCTTTGAAATTAACACACAAGAGTCGGCTACCGGTAGTGATCAACTGCACTAGACCTTAATATGAATAATCGGTCCACTGCGTTGCTCCCTGTCCTTAAACATGAGCAGAGAGGTAATGTTGAAGCAAACAGATAACACAGTAATCAAGCGTTTCCCAAGCCCAGAGGCCACTCGGAAAAGGCAGATTACAGCCGAAATCCAACAGAAATAATGGCTGGTGAATTGCGGTCCTTCCTTATGTGAAATCAGAAAGTAGCGAAAACTTCACATACGATCTTTCAGTACTGGCGACCAGTCCTTTACATGTCAAAATGCTTCCTCCATCTAAAGATTCAGGTCAGGAATGTCTTGAACCACCAGGAAGAAATATACTACACCAATTTTACAAGTTTGCTACTCCGTTCTCGTACACGTATCTTGTGATTAACCAAATCTCTTCAAGCAAGAACAAACCCAAGGTCTCTATCCAAACGAGTGATCGCTAGTCTCTTGGGATACATGATGCGGTTCTTCAGAGCGATCGGGATAGAAGCCTGAGATGAAATACGAGAAGTCGTTTATGATGGCTGGCTGGAGAAAGCCAGAGACTTCTTCTCCAGCTCGTCTTTGTTGGCACCAACGATCTTGTGGACTAGCTTCTTATTTTTGATGAAGATGAAGGTAGGCATGGCTTGAACGTCCCAGAGACCCGCTACTTCCTGGAAAAAAAAGACGATTGTGATAACATGCATGTCAATAAAAGGAAACGCGAGCTCAAGAGTACTCTACATGAGTCTGTATTGCACACCGCTATAGACTCGGAGACAAAACCAGGAGCTCTTCCTGTCATTTTAGCTAAAAAATGCTAAATTGCAACCAGGATCCTTGTCTAGGTGAGAGATCGTCTCGTAAGGTAGAACCGAAATGCTCTATTTTCCTGGACAAAGACAGTTGTGCGGGATCCTCTTCATGAAGGGCACCAAATGGTCTTTGACATCGATGAAAGAGGTTGGACGTGTTGCAAACAAGTACGTCGAGAGCAGCAATATCTTCAATAAACCCCTAAGGAGACGCAGTTCAAAGATATAAAAGGTATGCAGCCGTCACCGGCTATCAGAACGTGGCACTCACCGTAACTTGATCGACATCGACCTTCAGGAACACGAGGGATGGGTACTTCTTAGAAAGCTCCACGAAAACGGGGGCCATATGCCTGCAGGGACCACACCATGTGGCAGTGAAGTCGACCACAATCTGCAAGACAGGTGTGGTTTAGCATCCGATACATAAACCTAAACTGAAATTACCTCAATATGTACAGCACAAATTCTAAATACATCACTGAGGTATCTACTTATTAATTACAGCCCAATCGCGAGCCTAGTGAATGCCCATAATGTAATTGAGAATGCAATCGACGAATAACCTGGCCTCCTCAATTAGAAATTTGTATACACACTTGAGTACCGTAACAATAGGTACTGCAAAGCACATCTTGCATGGTACTCTCAATGGACGTAAGATCAATCGGTCGATCTAAAACAACTCCACAAGGGAGCATCTCAGGCAGTACCTCAAAACCCCCGTGCTGAAACAAATCACTATTCGATTTTCTGCAATCGAAACCTAAGCTTCATCTATCGATCGCAAAACGCGCGTCAGTGCATGCACATCGAGAAGAGACGAGACGAGCCGACAGGCGTGTCAGAAAAACTTACGGTTTTGTTCCCAGCCTCCTCCAATTTCGCATTCCACTCAGCGGTGGAGTGGATGGCGATCACGTTACCCTGGTCACCCATGGCAGGAGCAGGACCCTGTTGACGAAGAGCGGCCGCGAAGAAACGGAACACAAACACGAGGAGTAGCACCAACAAGAAATATTCGAGCATGAATAGTTCAGTGAGGCAGAAGAAGAAGAGTGACGTGAGTCGGTCGATCCGTGGAGTTTGAACGCACCAAATTGCTCCCCTAAGCCCCCAAGATATAAGAAAATGCACTGCGATGTCACTTCGTCCTGAGGCTTTTACCAACCACTACCGTCTTCGAGCTCTCTCTCTCTCTCTCTCTCTGTCGTTCCTCTCGTCTTTCTCCTCCGAAGCTTCTGAAGCTGCTGCTGCCCGAGGCTCTTCTGACTCCTGCGCTTTCTTTGTGCTGAGCCCGCCTCCTCCCCAACACGAGTTTAAGCAAACGCCCTACCCTCCGCCTTCTCCAGCTGTACCGTCCCTCACTGCAACTGTGACTTCCGTCCGCCCTCCGACAACCGCGTGAAGCGCAACTCCCTCCTCTTCCTCTCCTTCCCTGCCCGCCCTGCCCTGCCCAACCCGGCCCTGCCCCGCACCCCCCGGTCGCCCGGTCGGTCCTCGTCTACATACTGTGCACGTACTTCACTGTTGCCACAGCGCTGCTGCCCGTCCACTCATCCGTCCGTCGGGACGAGGCTGGATGGCCACGTGCGGGTTCTAGGGCGATCGGCGACTTGTGCCCCGTACGACCTTCTTCGCGACATGTTCGTTCGCGCGCTGCTTCGTTTTTCTTCTTCTAATCCTTCCGTCCGTACTCGTCGAGGTCCTGGCGTCGCCGTGGAGGTGGATTTCGAGGGATGTAGACTTTTGGGGGTCCGTCGACTAGCTAGCCCTAGCACTGTTTTCGCTTTTGAGTTCGTGGATGTACGGGCAGGATGTGGAATTCTTGTCCTTTCTTCTATTTTGCTTTCTCTCCTGCTCCACGGAACGAGAGCAGTTTGGAATGTAACAAATATGACTCCACTCCATGACACATTCCTCATGTTAAGATTGAATAAGTTGTGATCTTAGTGTCTTGCATCTTACACATTCCACCACATTGGATGAAATGATTATGGGGTCAATAGTCCGTGTTGTTAGATTTACAGGTGTGTATACTACATTTGACTTTGGAGTTTTACATAGCAATAGATTCCAATTTATGACAAATGTCTCTCATGTATACTGAGTTAGTGAGAAAATGTATGACTTGATTAAGTTATTTTACATCCATTCTTCTGTACATGACACGTAGTTGATATAATCCGTACAACATCGTGTTATGGAGTGATGATTCTCCATGTGCTATATTGCATGTAGAATTTTTTTACCTGGATAAATATAATATTGTCATCATGCTATTGTATGTATATTGAAATAATGATCATCTCATCTTAAACCCTCCCGATTCAAAAAACGTTCTTCTCTAGTTAAATTGAATTATTTTTTGTGGATTTCAACATGTTTGTAAGTGAGCGCATGAGAATTAGCATCACACACCGGAAGTCTTTCCCTCTTTATCTTACCATGTAACCAATTAAAGTCTAGCTAAGATTTGTTCTCACTGCTATAAGTGTAATTCTTGTCACTGCAACACATCTCATATCATTCCCCTTATCTAATGTTTACTTGTATGTAGATATATGTGATGTCTTCGGTAAAGTATGAAAATTGCTATTAGGGATAGTCTCATGTTTTCTGTTAGGCTTGTGCCCTGTAACACTTGATAGGGTCTTCACATCCTTCCCTTTTTTTGTCCCAAAATTTGAATTGTAGACACAATTAGATTTTGCGGTCAAAGTATACTGTAAAAATGTTACTGTTCAAATGATTTGTATCTCTAGTGAAATGTTGGCACACGAATCAAATGGTTTCGAATGTTAGTCAAACTTATAAAAATTATGCAGACCAGAGAACTTAGAGCTTGCAGTCAGCTCACCGATTACTTAGCAACGAAGATCCCGCGCTTGTCTTCAAATATTGTACTAGACTTTCTTCCACTCAAATTGGCTTGATTGGCGACGTACACAAGCATGATGTGAGATAACCGCGACAACTGGAGGATTGATTCATTTTATAAACAAAAGAATGCTGAGGAACTCAGAATTGGCAAGATCTGGCAAAAGCAGAGCTCGCAAGTGGTGCCCAAGCCTACGGATACGAGAGAGACCTCGGGCCACAGTCCAGACTAGGGACAAGAAAGTGCACAACGGCCCGAGACGTAATGGATGTGCACGGTAGACTATGTCGGCAGTAAAAAGAATCTAATCTCACGTTGTATACTCCTACAGTTTCTTGATGTTCTCTCTTCGGTTTTCGAGCCTTTTTTAACTACTTGGTCGACGTGTTAACGTGTTTATAACTGAATGTGAACGCAATCTTCCAATTTGAAGCGTGTGATGTGATAAGTTGGAATCGTCTTTACTGTTCCATATTGCTAAATGCGGATACGTGCAGAAATTTTGCGCAAAACAACATCCTTAAGTTATCTCCCCTTAATTTTGATTATGAAATTTTGTCAATTATATATGTCCAGATTTTAAATAGTCTGGTTATCCAACTTTTTACAATAGGAACCAAATTGATGGGTGTAATTTTTTCAAGAAATGATTTTTGCGATATAATTCATAAGATTTGACCAAAGTGTTGTGCATAAAATGTTTAGATTATGTTTAAAGCTTCAGGAAATAGACTAAATCCATGAAATTCGGTGATTAGTAGCTCCATATTGATAGGTATGATACTTATACATGATATTACTTCTGTCAATAGATTTTCTATTAACAGATAAGAAGTTTTTTATTTGATGATACTATCCAAACTTCATGCAGTTTGAATTAAATTTATGACATCCTACTACCTTTAAAATATTCTTAAGTATATGATCATTGACTCGATTAAGCCAAAATTCTTTGAAAAAAATTCTATTATGTCAGATATATATCTTTCATTTTTTAGTAACTTATGCAAAGAAGGCCGTATTTTTATCAATCAAACATAATAGTATGAAAGTTTGATTAAACACAAATATGTTATCAAAATTGCGATACTAGAAAACTTTTTTCAAAAAATATGTAGAATTTAGTTCAGAATATATATATATATATACTCATTGACAAAGTTCATTGATCTCCATGCAAAAAGAGTGAAGAAAAACTTGTGATTTTGAAGATGTGAAGTTGTATAAAATAAATCCAATACCACAATAATTCATCTTTAAGCTATATGAAATTTATCTTTGTTTAATGAAAAATATCATTTTTTGATATACATTATGATATACTAGGGTATAAATATTATTATTAGTGTGATAAAATGGAAAGTGTCATTAATGCTTATAGTTTTAGATTATAGTCTTATAGATTTGAGATTGTACAATATATATTCAATATAAAATGCTTGATGAATTTGATTTGTGAATTGCTTTTGATTTGATTCAACTTACATGTAAAGATTAGTACAATGTACCTACAAAAGAGTATGTAGAGAAATTTTCTTGTGAAAAATTATGATGAAGAATCTTAGAGTTGTTTTATGATCACTTATAACTTTCTGATTTTTTTCCAAAAGATTGGATAGTTATCATACTTATATTGTATTATAATGAAAATAAATAATTAAAAATATCATTTGACATGGATGATATACTAAATGCTATCATGATTAAGATGAACGATCAACGATGTACTTCTACTATCGTTGGGAGTAACGATAGTAGAAGTACATAAAAAGTAGCAAATTATGAAAAATAAGATTTGTGTGTTAAATAATGAAAAAGAGAAGAGAGAACGGGTAGGAGCGATGAAGTTGGATACTTTTATATCAAAGATTCAAATTCAATCAAATATCAAGAATCAAATACTATTCACCTTGCAAAGTTAAATAAAAGACACAGTCAATAGATTGAAGATAAAACCTATCTCTTGCTTTGAATGAGAAAGTCATGTAAAATGAAAAATTACAAGAAGAATTGAACAATGAAGAATTCAAAAGGTTTGTCATAAGGATACATATATTTGTCTCATTTCCTTGTTTTTGATTTTATTGCAAGATTTTTCATGAAGTTTTATCTCATAGATATAAAATTGAAGTAGAAAGAAGATATTCACAATTTTCATTAAAAATTTGACACTATTATGATTTTAAAGTATCCATCATTTGTATGGATGGAGTCAAAACCTTAGATCTGTTCAAAGAAGGTTTTTAAAATCAAATACACAAGAAAATAATCAATTCATCTAGAATGATTAAAACAATCGCAATTGCTCAATAATTGCATATGCTTATGAAATCAGCCTACAATACATCAATAAATTGTTGCAAACAAAACAAAACAAAAATCAAAATAGAGTGGGGAGGTTTTTCAAATTATATTCAGAATAACATCCAATGTGAAAAAAATAAAAGTAATAATACTTAAAGTGAAAAAACTAAAAATAATATTGAGAATTGGAAGACTAAATACAAATGATGTTGACGAGTGTAAGTGACAATGTTCTTAGACTCTTTATTTATATTGCTAAGACGACACTAGTAAATATCAGAGTCTTTGAAGTTCAAAATTCAGTCTTTGAAGTTCAAAGGTTGACAACACCTTCGAATTTGGAACATTTTTGCACCATCACATGACGTTAGTGATATCAATTCCTTCAAGCAACAGGTTCCACAAATTATTTGAAATAAAACCTAAAAATCTATTACAACAAATCTATATGATAGTCACATGGCTACATTATGCTTTGATGTTAATGTTGATTCAGACTTGTTGGATTCAAATATCTTAAGCACTTGGTTTGATTGCATATTGGCGATGAATGTTTTTGATCATTTTGAGAACGTTAGCAAGATTAGCAATAAATTTCAAATTTTTTTTGTTAACTTCATAGCACTATCAATGTACAAGATATTGTAATCCACTTTGATTGATGCAAGAGTCATAATTTTTAGAAACTTTAAATTCTTCTTTTCTATTAAATATGATTGGTGACGGAAGTGCTGACAACCGTCTTGAAATAGTTGATACTTTATACGAGTTGAACAATAAAACATGAAACACTGTATAAATTGTTATAAATTATGACAGCTTCAATTTGTATGATATTTTTTTGATATGCTTAATAAATAAAAAGATCCAAGAAAACAATAATAAAGTTTTTTGCTCGGTTGACGAATCTTCAAATTTCAATGTAAAAGCTAAAATTTATCTCCAACTAAGATGTTCAAATTTTGCTTTCAAACCGTTTTTGCAATTCTCTTCTGCGGCTTTTTAGCTTTCACAAACGTTGATGTCTTTCTGGATCTTCAAAAGTTTGATGATAAGATCTCGCGCAGTGAAATTTTTTCTCAAAACTCAAGTTAAAACAGGCAAATTATGAATGAT